TCTCATACAAATAAATCACTATATTCAAAGAGAGGTAAATTAATTTTGATCCAGTCCCTAGGTCGTTTCCACTTTTTTGTCAAATTTGTATAATTATAGGCATGTGCAGTTTATTGAATTTTGCTCGTATCACTTCACCCTAATTCAACTGTGACCTTCGGGTAGTTCCTATTTTACCGTTATTTACGGACGAAAGTTCGACTTATTATATGCTATTTGAACGGCAGGTTGAGCGAAATCAACGAGTAAAAACGTTGCAAAAGTGCACTTAGATATACAAATAACAGCAAATCATTGTACGATTTATTATGCGAATAACTGATGAGATAGTAATGCATGGTTGCACGCATATATAATAACCTAATTACTGTTCCAGAACACCGTGTGCTTTCATATCATTCCAGAACAGTGTTCCAAATGTTCTAGAACAGTAAATCTCAAGTTCACCAGTCATGTGCGAGGTAAATTGGTCAAAGCAAACAAATGCTTGTACGTTATACGAACACTCAGGGCAGAAGGCTATAGCCAATGTGAGATAGATTATCTATTTAAGACCCTAGTAATATCTACTATAACGTTTGGCCTGTCCGTCTACGGTTCTTCTCCAGCCGAACTCAATACTCTACAACGGTTTTTTGACAGATGTTTTAAGCGAAAGTATATATCAGAACCTGTAAATATTAGATATCTTTTAGAAATACAAGACAGAAATATTTTTAAGGCTTCTGTAAATCAGAAGAGTGCCATAGTCGACTTGATACCAAGAAAAAAATCCACAAGCTACTCTTTGAGGACAGAGTTTAGTCAGTATCCAAGAGTGAACACGGAACGTTTTAAATTGTCGTTTGCAAATAGATTAATTTTTAACTATAACCTATTCATATGATGTAAACTTTACTAATGTATTCTTAATATATACTTGTAACATAAGATATGTTTTTTATCTTTTGATCTATTAAAAAGACTTTTGAATTGAATTGAATTGAGGTAAAGGTCAGTAAATAGAGCAGCTTGCTTGAGATTCAGTAAGGATCATCCCATCAACCTGGTAGCGGAAATGATCGATGACCCTCATGAGTATCATATTGCCGCCCAATTTTCCGACTGTTACAGTAAAATGCATCTTGGAGGAATTGAATCCAGTTCACAGAAGTGAGAGAAACATGCATGCCTTCTTTTGCATTATTTTCAAGGATATGAGTTGAGCATTGTGGATGAGATAAATTCCACAAACAGGACTACTCTTATAGAATGCAAGTAAGGTTTTCAAGTCTTCTGACAATATTCGATCAGAGTTTTTAACGACATCGTTTTTGATATACATTCAGAGCGTATGTTAATATTGAACAAAAAGGGCCTGTACTACCTCAGTATAATCGTAACGTTAGGCGATTTTATTGCCTGAAAGCCTTAAAATGACTATGTAATTTGATATTTTCGGCACCGTTACGTCAGGGTAAAACTTTCCCAGGAGCCCCTATCACGTCATAATTATAAAACAGGAAAAGAGGTGTTTTATAGTATATTGCACTTTATTGCATATTCTCCTGCACTGACACAGCTACGATTTATATTCTCTTCGGTAAGCAGTCTTCAGATCACGAAAATCGACCCAGGGCAAAGTGAACCCCCTGCTTCCGCCCCTCCCCCCGCCACCTCTCGGCATTCGTTACGATTGCGTTGCAGTGCACAATATGATACACACACGTGCGATTTCTTCTCTTGTGTTGGCAACCCAATTGCATTGCTAGCGCCATGCAGCATGAGCTCCACCTTTGAATTTACTATATGAGTAAATTGTTAAACACGTCCGAAATTATCAATAGAGACCTTACGATTTCAGGACGGCATCGCGACGGCAACTGCTACCAATACAATAGATCATTGAAAATAATTGAGTAATTACAACATATGAATAATTTAGACATTGTCCTCGCTCTGTTTACAACGCCAAATCACAGATTTTCACGTCTTGATACAACGGCTGCATTCCAAGCCGCAACAAGTGCAACTTCAAACTGGGTTAGCAGATCTCTTCCCAACCATAAAACCCATGTCTTCAACTTCTAAGACTGTATTAAATTCATACGATTGATAATATACCACAAACTATCTTTACTACCATTTACTTGAAGGAGTTTGTTTTGGCCGTCGCGTTGCCGTCCTAAAATCGTAAGGTCTCTATTACAATAAATTCGCGACACATGTTGAGCCCTAACCCTAATATAATCTTAATCTAACCCTAATCTAATTTTTATCTTACACTAATCTAAACTTGATGACCTTTTAATTTTTATAATCTAACGTAACAAAAACAACTAATCTGTAACAAAAAAATGCCATTCGAGTGTAACATTCAGAACATTGCCGACGAGTTGTCCAATAAACGTAACAGGGGTTAATGACTAATTTAATGTTATCTTCACACTAACAGGTGAACAATATCTTCAAGATAAAACCAGGTACAATTATTACTTCGAAATTACTGTAAAATTGCATGCCAATGGTTCCATAAAATTAAGGGTTTCAGCCATTGCCAGACACAAACTTTAAGAACGTTTTGATAAACGTAGATTCACAACAATTGTTTCTCCATGCTAGTTCAATCTTTGTATAGGACGTGCATTCCTGCCGAAGCTGAACCAATACTAAACTCGAGTTCGTGTTATCCTTTGGTAAACTTTTCTCGTCCTTTTTGTAAAAATCATGGAATCACTTTACCCAACTACGTATATAACACGCCAAGCTATCAAAATTGGAAAAACGATGAAGGCAACAAGGACTATGACGGATTTTTGAAGCTGGGCGCATCACAAATAAGCCGCTTTTTTAAAGTAGATATCGCCATTGTTACAAAGTGCGTTCAAGGTGCCATCATAGGTTTTTGTCACTTTGTGTTCCCGAGTTGTGATCAAACCCAAAGCGTGTTTAAGGAGCAAAAGTTGTGTCGTGAATCGTGTCTTGAATTTTTGCATGACTGCCATAAAATAGGGAAACTTTTTGTGAAGTATTTTATAATTCGCTCCCCGGAGAAAGCGAAGCTCTACAGTTGCAAACTACAACCGTATAGGAATGCTGGTGACTCTCCGGAATGCTGGTATTACAATGGGCCCACAAACTCTACAGGTAACATTATAATTGGGCAGTGCGTAGAAGATGCGGTAACACACTGTCCGCTGAATTTATGGAGTTGGTAACACAGGAAAAAGCCATTAATGAGTTTTGAATGGTTTTTAAAGATTTACCATGTATACTATCAATGTAAAAACTAAACTCTAACCAATATAGGTTATTATAAATTTCCATATGGCAAATCGGTAAAAACCATCATGTTTAATGTTTATCATTAATTTCCTGGTAATTTACCAATTGGTATAACATAGCGAAAATCTATAATAATAAAAAATAATAACAGTTCAGTTTTTGCATTCAAAAATCCATTGATTGGAATTTAAATTTTTTCCTGTGTTGGTTGTGCTCTGTATAATTAGATATGGGTTATATAAAGTCAACCAGATTCGCTCTTAGTATATAAACATTCTAATTGTGCACTTTTCTAAAAAATCACTAGGCAGAATGGTGTTTCTTGGGAGTGCATATAATTATAAAGTGGTATATATTATTACTTGTGGCTCAATCAACCTTCATCGTACAGAGGCCGCGGAACCATTTCGAAAGTGGACTGGCATTGGCCAAAAGAGGCAATTTTGTATATTTTCAAAATCAAACGATTTTATGTCGTTCACGAGCCGAACGAAAATTTTTGAAAATATGGAGTCTCGATAAGGTCGGAAATGGCCTTTCCTGAGTCTTTACTACTGCAAAAAGGGCACTATCTTTCCAGCGAAAGATGTCGTTTATTCGTTCCTTAAATGGGGCACTTTAGCTCCGAAAAAAATGGCACTTTTCACTTTTAAAAAAGTGGGGAGGGGGGGGGGGGCACATGCCCCCATTGCCCTCCAGATTCCGCGGCCCTTGTAATCGTCCAATAATCGTATCTATTGCAACTTGTTTTTGCATATTTATAGATACATTTCCAGATCTAGAATGGACTACAACCACTAGTAAGCAACCCAAAGGTCAGTCCGAATCAAATTTATATTAACCTAATTAAATTTGGCAGGGGACAAAACATACTGAAGCGTTGGGAGGTAGTGGTCAATACATATGCCTTCCACCTTTGCGTCCAAGCTTCGATTCTAGCACTACGCAGCTGTTCAGTTTTGCTACTTCAATGAAGGAATGACCCATCTGGACTTCAAGGGAGACTGTTTAGAAATGATAAAGCTATCCAGTACACATGAAGTTTGATAATGTATAACAACATATATAATGTATAACTCTGTAAACACTGTTGTATCGCAAACCTAAGATAATAAATCCAAACTAATAGGCATCTTTCCAAACAGATTGTTTGTACTTAAACGGGAGCAGTTACCATGGCAACATATCAGTGACAGGTTCAAGTATTCCGTGTCAATCATGGACAGAACAATGTCCACATCGTCATACCATGAACAAAACATATCCTGAACTAAATAACGCTAAGAATTATTGTCGAAATCCTCAGAACTCTGGACAACGACCTTGGTGTTTTACCACAAATAAAAAAAAGAGATGGGAGTACTGTGATATCCCTACATGTATACCAGGTATAATATTGTACTGTAATACCCCAAGTGTATACCAGGCATATGGTAGTATTTTACTGTGATATATCTTAATGTATACAAGGCATGGTCATAGTAAGTATAAAATAACGACCGCAGTTTAGGTTCCAATTACCAGAAAAGGATTTAAACACTTAAGTGTGCTCTATTTTCAAACATGGATTGTATATACAGTACATGGTGGTGCACTAGTTCACCTTTGATCAATAGTGACTTTCGCAATTTACCACTAAGCTGCTGCGAGTTCTTATTTTTAGGTGCAAACAGTGGCATTTCACAGGTAATCGCCCTCATAAAAACGACACAAATATTCCCAGTTACAACTCAGGGATGCCAGAGGCGCCCGATTTCACCTTTGAGCTGCGCTCTTCGCAATTAGACCAGTTGAAAGGTAAATAAAATAACCAGGAACAGACTTTCAGGGAGATCAACTTAATCCAAATAGTCTGATTTTTAATTTATATATAGGACATTTTAACCAGACTGTTTTAGAGTACAACAACGAAAGCTCAATGTTTTTCTGCATGTAATTGTGATTCACATTATTATTGCAAACTACCTACCGACAATATATAGACACCGAACAATGTAGGTACCAAAGAAAGCTCAATGTTTTTTTGCATAGTTGATGGTAGTTATGGCAACTGGTCATTAAACAGTACGTGCAATGTGACTTGTGGCGAAGGTTTTGCAACATGGACACGGGAATGTAACAATCCTGAGCCAAAGTATGGTGGAAGAAACTGCAGTCATCTAGGAGAAGCTGATGGGTACAGACCATGTTCAGCAAAGCCTTGTCCTGGTACGTTCGATAGCTTTTTGAAATAAGTACAAAACGACATTTTTTGAGTACACGACGACATTTAATTTTCCTCGGTATTTTATATTGTTATCTATAGTTAACGGTGGTTACAGCAACTGGACTTTGAGTAAGCCATGCAGTGTTTCATGTGGTGATGGAGTGGAAATATGGCGACGTTTCTGTAATAATCCTGAGCCAAAATACGGCGGTCATAACTGCATTGGAATTGGGAACTCGACTGAGCTAAGAAACTGTAGCGAAAAACCATGTCCACGTAAGTCTAAAATGTGACCGAAAGTAAACTAACTTTTTTTTGCTATAATGTTCTCCCAAGAAATCTCGTTAAGATCATCCCTTTTTGCGTTTACAACAGGATGAAACCGTAGAACCTGGAGAAAACTTGAGCAGTTTGGTTTAGCTTATTTGAAGCACTCATATTATTAAACTTACTCCAAGTTTTCCTCTCAAAGGAGTTTTTACTTAAGAGTGCGCGAATATGTAGGCTGAAGGAATTTTAAGGCGGTTTTGTAGAAAGGTTATATTATTGCATGCGATTGAAATGAAATTCTAATTAGGGAACTGCATATTACAGGAATTAGACCCAACCACAGAGCTGCACTCACATGCACTAACAACTGTGATACCCACGCCCATGTTACCAAAACAAACACATTCAAATACGTTTTCAATATTCGTTCAAATATTTTCACGTTAAACTACTAATACCTTAAATTTTCGGTATGTGTAATATTTGGATGATTCTGAGAAGAAACGTTATGTACTGATCGTTATAGTAAAAATGCTCATTTTGGTCAACTTTTTTCGCTGTCAAAGTTTCCAGATATGATGTCATTAGATGAATTTTTTTGGAAAAACAAGGGAAAGCCAACTTGTGATTCATCTAATGACGTCATATGGTGAAATGGTATCCGCTTCTTAATTGTAGAGCAAATATTTCTGAACAAGATAACGATACATTTTTGCCTTCCTATATCATATTATTTTTTACAATCTACATCAAAGAGATGTATTTGGTGTCAATCGACCGAAGTATTTCAACACAGCACATGATGAAAACTATTTTAACGGCAATACCATGTAAACTTCCGTTTACAGAATTGTAATGCTATTTGGGATTTTGTTTCGGTGTCCGCCTGTTCTTATGAGAGGTGTCTGCTTATAAGAGGTCGCAAACGTATATGATTTGATGGGACTTGGGAGTGGTGTCCCCTATAAGGAGAGGCGTCCGACTGTCCGCTTGCAACAGGTGTCCGCAGGGAAAGGTGCGACTGTATTACTTCTTAGACGTACAAAGTTGTCGTTCAGTGTAGGATTATTATGAATGTTGTGTATATATTCGAGTGAGGCCAAAAGCTACTGCCGAAAGTAAAGCCTAAATTAGGCGGAAAATTTTAATTTATATTTATTTTTATAGTTTTATATATTTTAAATTTTTTATATATTTTTATTAATAGTTTTCAAAAATTTGCCGCCTAAGTTAGGCTTTACTTTCGACAGTAGCTTATGGCCTCACTCGAATACACAACATTGTTTCTCAGAATTAACAAAAGCACATACAAAAAATAATCTTTGAGATATAAATGGCACTTTAAGGCGATGCATAGTATTTTTATTCTGTATTTCTATACTATCAGTCGATGGTATCTACGGCAACTGGACAAAGACACTATGTAGTGTCACGTGTGGTCAAGGAGTCGAAATATGGACACGACAGTGCGACAACCCCCCTGGGAGATATGGCGGAAACTGTAGCAAAGAGGGGCCGAGTCGCGAAATTCGAACATGTAAATTGGAAGCTTGTCCAGGTAAGATCTGTGTCCAATGGTTATTAGTGATTGATAATTCAGTTTTGTCAAAATAGGCGGGTTTCCACAAAACTAGCCACTATCATGCAGCACATGGACCATGGTGTTTAACAAGTAGCTAATTTCAGATTGAGAAAATTATATTAATATATTTCTTTTCAATATGTTTAGTAGTATAGGTTTGTGGCAAGCTAAAAAGTTTGCTTGAACACGGTGGGAAACGAACCCGCTACCTCTAGTTTGCTAGTCGAATGCTGTACCAACTGAGCTACAAGGTCAAGTCGGTTTGAGTGCGTGATATTTCGGAACTCAGTCTAGTTCGTTCGATATCAGTATGTTTTTATGATCTGGAATTCTTGATTCTGGTGTTGTGCACTCGGGTGAAGATATATATTTGTGATATTGCTCTGATTCTGTCCCACCAAACAAGCTGAAATTAAAGTTGAAATTGCGGGTTCGATTCCCACCGAGGTCAAGCAAACTTTCGTTCAGTTTGCCCGGTGTGGATACATTCAGAGCAACATCTTGTACGTGACTTGAGTGCACGACACCAGAAATAAAGATTCATGATTCATATTTAGTAGTGTTGTTTTTGAAGATAAATAGGCAATATTGAGAAATAAATGTCTTTAATTTTAATTTTGTATCTTGCTCCAAATTAAAGTTTAATTTGAGTGTCATGTTTTTTCAAACTTGAGCAACATCTGCTTCCCTGTACGTAGACGGAATGTTTTAGGCGATAATAACTTAATTGAACTTCCCAGTACGTAGACGAAATGTTTTAGGCGATAATAACTTTGGAACATCAAGAGCGCTATCTTCTTATTTTAAAAAGTGTATCATTTTTGTTTATTATTTGTATGCTGGAATTATTGATTTTACTGACTTAGAGTTCGGCAAATCGCGCTTGTTTCTTCCTTGGAACAAACAAAACATTTCACGGAACGGATCACATGTCTAGCATGTGTGCCGGGTAGCTGAAATTATTTTATAAAGCTCTTAAAACTGGTGACTACTAAAGGTAAATTAAATTCAAAAGAAGCTAACTAGCGAGTCACTCAGCAAAATTTTCATTACTGTTGTCGCGATGAAAACGCATTCGATAAGTGAGGTCAAAAGAAGCGTTTTGCCATTCGAGTGAACAAAGATATTTTAAAAATTTCAGTCCTCTTCGACTCTCAGATGATTGGTATCACCGTTGCTGCTGCTCTTCTTGTGATCATCGTAACAGTAGCATGTTTTATTTTCTTTCGTCGAAGACGACGCCGAAAACCAGGTGAGGTCAAAATCTAATTTGATAATTAGTTAATCACAATTTTCTGATAGAGAACGACTTGATCCATTATGTACAAGCCTGGCCGCGCATCTTCCATATTTTTATCGATACTTATTCCTTTCTAAATTATCATTTATTTCGGACAATAAGTTTTTCCTGAATTCTTCCCGGTCCTTTATCATAACCGTTCGCAGGAGGGCAAAGTCTTGAAATTGCACTAGCTCCTGGATTCGATAGCGCGTACAAGGCGAGCGCTTAACCATCCGACTATTTAAGGAATTACTTGAAATCAACTGAAATTTATTTAATTAATTGGTATCTTTTCAGTATGTTTAAAGAACGAGGAATTTTGACTTTGTTTACTTAATATAAACCAGAGTGTGATTAATATAAACCAGAGTTTAATAATCTATGATTTTGTGTCGAAACGACTTCCCCCTGAAAAAATATCTTGAACATTTTCTGTAAATATTTCAACAGCACTATTGATTAATTCCATTGGATAATTATTTATAATAACATTCAGTTGCCTTGCAATTATGGCATCATCACGCCGAATCACTCAACCCTTCTGTTGAAATAGCTAACAAGCAAAATTTGAAAGATTGGTGCACGGTGAAGTTTTCTGAACATGAACATGAAATCGGCATCATGGACAATTTAAAGTTTATCGCATTTCCAGACCATATTACATTACATCACATACCTTATTGACATTCTCATTAACGGGCTTGTCAATGACAATTTACAATTTTACAGCAATAAATAATTTTATAATTAGATCTTTGTTAGTATATAAAATTGCAGGTTGAACTGACGAGTATGTGTAATATTTTCACTGATAGTTTTGTGCCATTGGGAACAGAAATTATCAAATTAGCGTCTGCTGAAATTCTGATCTACCTTTTAAACTCCCTAGGCTCTCTTTATTACGCCCGTTTGGACTTTTTACCGCAACGTTCCCGCGGTCCTCAACAACTAGAAAGCAACAATGCTTCAGGAGAAAACGCGAGTTCATCACAAGAGACTGGCACTTCTGGTGAATATCAAAACCTAACAAGTGAAGAGAAGCCAGCTCCAGGGCTCTCGCGTGGTGTGGTGAGCTACGGAAGAGATTACATGAACACAAGACCGGCGCGAAATTCAGGGTATGACAGACTTCAGATAATTCGACCATTGGCTATGGAGTGGCTGCGAAACGCGTGGGGGAATGTTGACGAGTTTGGTCGTCATGTTTATGACGTCATGCAACGCGTCCGCCATGTTTTTGTCCCATACCACAAGTTGGGCAACCCACAACAAGGTGATTCGGCCGGAAGTGGAGTGGGCAGAAGTAATAATACTTATAGTACAATGGAAAGACCCGCAGCAGTTATATTGCCCACTGAAAGTGAGAATACGTCGACGTCAGAAAATGTTTGATCTTTCAGACTATAAACACTAACTGGTCTTTCAATGACAATTAATTGACTAACCGGCAAATGATTTTGTTATTGACTATAGTGCAATGTTCTATATTTCCAAGATGGCGGCAGAACCAAGAGCAAACTAGAAAACAGTTTTGAGTAAATTGATCAGTTATAAGAACGTACTACATGTAGCTGTGGCATATCCTAACATTTAGTTTGAAAATTGTAAATTGGAAACTAAGAAAACAATGCATTCTTGCGAGACAAGAATCACAATAGTTTTGGGAAGAAAATTATTCCTGAATTTGTTAGGACATTTTCGCTTCCTTTTTGAAGCATTTATATAGTTAGAACTTCTGGGGCAGAGCTCCAGGAGTTTTTAGTTCAGTGGTTTGATAATCGTCGCAAATCCGCGTTTCTACGAATTTACATCTTTTTAAATACGATGAATTGCCACTTGCTTTTAATAATTAATGAATGCATGATTACTTGTTAGCTACTTGCTGATGTTAATAATGATCTAGCAGATATATTACAACCTGTGTTTATTGCTTTGTAATTTTATCTCATGCATTACTGAATTATATCTTATTCGAATTTTAAATCTTCACCTTAATTAAAGCCTTGTTTCCATATGTTTGCATATGTCGCAACGGTTGTAAAGATTGAGTCAACAGCCAAAATACAACAGTTTAGAATTGAAAATAGGCAGAGTGATTATAAATGCGTGGATAATACTTATGATTTATATGTGGTTTACAGGTAAAAACTATGATAATCTGGCCGTTGAGAACGATCGTGACTCTATCTTTACGACCGTTACGCGACCATATGGAAACCTGGCTAAACTAAACCGGTGTAACTTTATTCATATTAGATAGGTCTATCAACGGTCTTGTTCGCCTGTTCTCCCTAGATCTAGAGGTCCAGTAAGAGCCACCCAATATATTATTCCAGTGTTACTACAAGAGAGATCTTGTACTTTATGGGGTTGCGATTCATCGATCTTTATTGACTCATTGTTTCCACGTGAGGAAACTATATGGCGAGAAATCCTACGGTGTTTGGAAGATTTTTACAATGTAGGAAACAAGTCGGAACAGTGTTAGGTCGCTCCGTACTAGAGGTGTGAGTCGGATTGGATTGGCAGCTTTGAATGTGAAGTTTGGTCCAGGCTCTGAATCCGATCCGAAGCTCGAAAACGAAATTCGATGTGATTCAATTAGAATAATTCATCTTGTGATTTCTTAAAATTATAAATTTGAAAAAAGCCGAAGTGAAATTATAGATTAATCATGTTTTTGCGAGTTTAATGACGTTAAAAAACAAGATCTGACATATAGCCAGTAGCAAAATCAATCCCGAATCCAACAGAAAAACAAACAAAATTCTATCCGAACACGTAAAATTTTGACTGGATTCGCACACCTCTACCCCGTGCCTATATGACAGGTTCTGAAAATGACAATAAACTATCGAAATCATCTTTCTAAAAAGCGAGTCATAAACACCGACCCCTTTTGTTTTAGAGAGCAAATCACCAACACATGTCCGCATGGTACTTACTGATAATTCTACCCCTATACAGCTCTGTCTTGCATAATTCAGTGTTGCTGATTTCACTTTTGCATATCTCATTTTAAGGAAACGATGACTTAGCATTCTTAACATACAGGTAAACAATTCATATTTTAAATCACGAATAATGTCCATCATGGAAAAGTAATACTAAAGATATTTGTAAGAAAATAACAGCAGGAAGTTCTGCTCTCCGTCGTGACAAACCTTTTGTTCAGAAAGATACACGTACTTCAATATACAATGCAATTATTCATCCACACTTCGATTATTGTACGTGGTGAAGTGTGGGATGTACTTGGTGAAACACATTCAAAATGACTTCAAAAACTCCAAAGAGCTCCTTGAGTTATCACGAGTATGAGCAACGATATTGATCATTCTATTGCTTTACATGCCTTGGGCTGGGAAGCACATAAGTTGATGAGAGAAAAGTCAAAACAAAAGTGAGGTGACAAATCACAAAGTTTGGGGCATTTCCAGTAGTCTACACAACCTCGAACTAATAACATGAAAAATAGTTTCATGTGCGACGGTGTTCGTGTATATGGAACTATATATTCCAAAAGAAATTAGGGAGTGCAAATCCCTATCATGTTTTCGAAATAAAATTACTACTCGCATTTTTTGATTAATACATATCCTAAAATAACTTTTAACAAAAACCTGTACATATGTAAATATACTTCTAATTATTTTACTTAGACTTAGTTGATATCATATTTTGTAAATAGCTTAAAATATTATATTTTTTGTACTTCCTTTTCTTGCACGCCCCCTGTGGAAATCAGCTTGGGTTGACAGGGTTAGCGTGGGTAAATAAAATCTTTCTATTGAAATTCGAAATCTATTAAAAACCTGGTATTTTTTTATATTGATTACTACGCTTTTATATTAATTAAATACCACGTTTTTAAACGATATCCTATAAATCTTAAACTGTTCCTCACATGTTTACAATCCTAATCGCCACCCTAATGCTATATGCCAAAAATTTACATGGTAATTTGCAAAATGTACATTCTTTCAACAATGGTTAATTAACCCCACCCTACTTTTCAAATAAGCCTGAATTTAATGCCGTATTGAGGAATATATTTTTTTAGTTCATGTATACCAGCAGAAGAAGAGCCTGTATATACTGTCCAGGGTGACTGTCAACCTGTCATCAGACTGGAAAAACCATTTTGTGAACATTACGGATATAAACTTGATAAATATGTCAATGTGACTGTGTACTTACAACAGTTTTGGAATGACCGTTTGTGGCATTTACAGGAACAATACCACCAAGTATTATTTGAAGGGCAAAATGTTTCAGCATCGTGCATGGACCAAGTTCGCTTCGCTGGCTGTTACTATACGTTTCCAGGGTGCGATCGCAGCACAAGAGTATTTAGACCAAAGCAATTTTGTAAAGAGTCGTGTCTTCATTTTACAAATGAATGTAGTGCGTCTTTGAAACAGTGGATAGATGTATCCTCTTCATTCTATCCGGGAAAAGAAGCCCTGTTCAATTGTTCGAAAAAACCAACAAGAAATGCCGGAGACTCTCCTGGGTGTCTCTATTATCACAGGAAAAAAAGTTTAGAAAGCGAAGGTATGTTGGTTGGTCATTGGTCATTGGGTCGCTAAAATATCCGGTCCTCTGTCGGGCGGGGGGGGGGCTGTTCATTACGAGGTTCAGTCAGTCCTTCGGTCGCTCATTATAATACTTAATATGTCTAAATACTACTTTATCTTGTAGATTGTCTGTACTTAGACGGCAGCGGTTACTATGGCAACATATCTGTGACAGGCTCAGGTATTTCTTGTCAGTCATGGACAGAACAATGTCCTCATCGTCATACCATGAACGAGACATATCCGGAACTAAATAACGCCGAGAATTATTGTCGAAATCCTCAGAACTCAGGACAACGACCTTGGTGTTTTACTACAGATAGACATAAGAGATGGGAGTACTGTGATGTCCCAAAATGTATACCAGGTATAAAGTAATATTGTACTGCGATATCTCTAAACGCATACCAAATATACAGGGTGATTACGAAATTATTTTTACACGGGGCTTCAGTGGGGCTATGGCTGGAGCAAGCGCCTTTCACTACTGAGATTGTGAGTTCGGTTCTCGCTCCGGATCGGACTGAAGACATTCATGGGAATAGAGTCAGCCCACGCTTGCTCTTCCAGAAATCGTGGGTTTTTCCGGGTATTCCAGGTTCCTCCCGCAGGGAATATTAACAGGATGGGTTGGGATAAGCTGCCTAATTGACCCTTCCATCGTTGCTGTGCTCCGTAGTCCGTGATCTGATATGATTCATAAGGTGGCTGCCAGAGCCGCCCGTAGAAGGCCTTCGACTCGACGAGGTTAAGCAATGTCCTTCACAATTCAGCTTAGCTCCTAGCTCCGTTGCCAGTTAAGGACCGGTCATAAAGTATTTACTAGGGGGTGTGGAGTATATTTTTGGGGGGTACGAAAAAAACCCAGAACCTCTGGAGGGGGGTGGGGGTGGTACGGAAAAGACAACAGAACCTCTAGGGGGGTACAAAAATCTTAGTACTATAGGTACGGAAAAAAATTACATTTTTCTAATTATTGTTGAATATTGAATGTATTTGTGCCCCGATACGATTTTTAAATCGTTTTTTAAAAGTTTGGAAATAGTGGCCATTCGATAGTGGCCATTTTGAATTGTTTAATTTTCACGAGCAATGACTACTGAGACCAGCATTCCTCGCGGGCATCAAGCCTTGTGACGCCATTATGCATAAGGCCTAGGTCTATTGTTTTATTATACTTATTATTAAATCAACACAAAGTATATATGTTTCAGTCTGATTCGATGTCAGGTGATAAGTAGGATTCAGTTTCCGTGGAACGTTTGGAGTACAAATCTGATACATCTGAATGGACCATTTGCATTATAGACTAAATTTTGATCTAGACAAAAATTTCATCACAGCATGAAAGAGCATCCCAAAATTAGTAACATTCCAAAGTTTCGTTGCGAAATGTTGTAAAATGCGGATAATATAGCCTTGCGAAATTTGCAATTTTCAGTCATTTTGTATTACAGACGGGAAATTGATGCCCCAACACCCGATTGGGCTGTCAATTTCCCGTGCGTAATACAAAATGACTGAAAAACGGCAAACTTCGCAAGGCTATATTATCCGCATTTTACAACATTTCGCAACGAAACTTTGGAATATTACTAATTTTGTGACGCTCTTTCAAGCTGTGATGAAATTTTTGTCTAGATCAAAATTTAGTCTATAATGCAAATGGTCCATTTTCAATGACAATGCTAGCAAGCTCACACCATTAGAACCTGTTAATGATCCAAGAAGGGGG